TATATATTTCCTAAAAAACAAGGAACACAGACAATTTTCTTTTTTTGCAGTGCTAGAGATTAAACTCACATACTAGGCATGTGTTCTGCCACTGAACTACATTCCCACCCCACATTTTCTTGCATAACCTCAGTAGGATCATCAAAATTAGGACTCTAATATTAATATTAAAATAATATACAGATGTTATTCAGATGTCACCAGTATTTCAATAATTCTGCTTAAAAGAAAAGAAAATTCCGGATCCCAAATTGTATTCAGTAATCAGGTCTCTCTGGTCTTCTTTAATCTGGAATACTTCCTCAGTCTTTCCTTGTCTTTCATGACCTTGACATTTTAACAGGTACAGGCTGGTTATTTTGTAGAATGTCCCTGAATTTGAGTTTATGTAACGTTTCCTTATGATTCAACTCAGGTTATGTATTTCTGGCAAGAACACCCTCTGGTGTTTATTTTCAATAAATTCATTAGGTAGCCCTGACTAGAAGTAGGAAAAGGAAATTTGTGTTTTAAATCTCATCTCCCTAAATAGACTCTGAGCTACCTGCATGTGGGGAACAGGTCTTTTCTCATCCTCAGATGTAAAGTGCAGGCTCCAGAATCAGCCTGCAAAAGTTAGTGTTCTTTTTTCTCTTACATGCTGCCAGTGGAACCTTGCTTGAATTTACTTAATATCCACAGTGGGGATGATGACACTATCAACTTTACCATAGAGTTGTAAGGATCAAAATACTGATCTGGTAAGACCCACCAGTAGATGCTAGAGCTAGTGCATGGAAGTTTGAGAAGTGGCAGGATATTTACATAGTGTCCATCTCTCCCTATAAAATACTTATTAACTGCAAATAGGAAAAATGGTAGTAAAAGAGCTGGGGCTGTGGCTCAGTGGTAGAGCGCTTGCCTAGCATGTGTGAGGCACTGGGTTTGATTCTCTCAGCACCACATAAAATAAAAGTTTGTTGACAATTTAAAAAAAATATTGAAAAGAAAAAAAAAAAGGTAGTGGAAAACCCTGGCAGACACCACCTTAGCCAAGTGATCAAGGTTAACATCTACAGTTATGGGATGAATCAGTATCACATGCCCTTGATATGATGCTCTGAGAACGTATTTTCATTTTCTCACTTTAGCTACTCCATGCCCCTCTCAATCTCTACCAGTCTTATCTCAGGATCAACAGAGCTATTTGCAGAGGTGTGACACAGTGGCATTGACATGTTAAAAATATTGCTCTAGCAACAAAAGAAGGAGAGGAAAATGGAATCCAAGATGCTGACCTGGTGGTCACCACATATGTTGGGGCTGACACATGCATTGTGTCTAGCCTTCCTCTAAAGGCATGCATACTTTGTGGGCTCGTTCAGTAGACTTTTAGGAGTCACTCGGGCACCTCTCTGATCCTCCAGTCTCATGTTCCCATCTACTCTGCCACCCCTAGACTTCTTTGTTGAACCCCCCACACCCCTTGGTCCTCATATGTTACCCCTTGATCCTTTTTGTTGTCCTCTCTGTCATTCCATTTGAAGGCATAGTAGACACCCTGACAGTGACATGAGTTAGGGTCTGAACCAGGAAGTCAAGAGTATGGGGCATATCTGGCTCTGTCTGTAAGTTGGGCTCTGTAGGCCTAATCTTTTCATCAGAGGCAAACTGCACTTGGCTTTTCTTCTCTTCTCCATCTCTTTCTATCCCATTCTTGCCTGGAGTCTTATTCTGCCTACTCACCACCCCCACCCAAGCTGCCCTCTCACTGCCAGTTTGATTGCCAGACCTGCCTCCTTAGGGATGCCCACCTATCAGGATGCCTATCATACCTCTTCTCCCCAAGCCCTCCCCCACAGCCCAGCCACCCACCTCTGAGCCAAGCAAGCCCAACTAGGCTTCGCCTCGGCCTCCCAGCCCTTTCCTGTAAATGCACTCACAGCCAGGAGGGGGGCCATATTAAATCAAGACTGATGGAAACCAGTGGCTGCGATTATCCAGCCAAGATGCAGCATGGGAAACTGGCTGCTGCCAGCTCCAGGTGAGAGCTTCTGAAGTTAATTGTACATGGCTTTTATTAAGAGGATGATCACTCCCCACTCCGGCTCTCCTGCGTCCCATTCACAGTGCCTCAGTCCACTGCCTTCTGCTTCAGCAGGCTGGGTTACCTGCCTGACTTCTCTATATACCTGGAACCCCACTAAAGCAGAGCCTTGAGCTCAGTCCTGTAGGCTTCCTCCCATCTCTCCAAGCGCCAAGGATGACGGTAGCCTACAGTTGTGGAGTCCTTACCAATCTCATCTCATCCTTCTTTTTTCCCTCTCCCAAATGAATATGCACAAGCCAAGCCTTTTCCTTCTCTAGTTTCTTCTACTGATAAGTTTTCCACAAGGCCATTCATTCACTTGTTCATTCGTTCATTCATTTAATCACTATTTAGTACAAACTTTGCCAAACATTAAGAGAAAAACATGCAGCAATACCCTTTGACCTGGTATAATCCCAGTGTTTTATCAAGAAGACTGATTTTCAGAGGTTTTTCTGACTAGGCATAGGTATTTGAGATTCCAGGCTTAAGGAAATCAGGATATACTGAGATATAGGCCATAGTTTGAACCTTTCCCAAGACCATCTAGAAAACGCCTGAGAAACTCAGTTCATGGTGTAACCATTCCCCAATGCTCACCCCAATAGAAAGCAAGGACTTTTTCCTCTTGCCCAAGAAGATATGATACCAAGAAAACCTAAAATCAGGATACTGAAGAAGAGTTATAGGAAGTAGAACTATTTCCCTGGAGAAGGCATAGGGAGGACCCAGTGGTCATACCCAAGTCAACAAAACAGCCTTTGCCTGGGGCAAAGGGAAAAGGCGTGTTCTCTGAGGCCCCAGAGACAAGTGGATGGAAAGTACCTAGAGGCAGAATTCTCAGCCCCAGAGAGAGAACTGTCAGCCAGAGATAAGCTGCCTTGGGCTGTAGTGAAGTCTGTAGAACCTGGTAAGTATTGCTGCCATAGCTGCACTGCAAGTTCCTTTAGAAGGGAGCCTCCAGAGCCATTTGTGGGGCAGTGGGGCACACAGAGGACTTTGCTCCTGGCTTCTGCTTAAGCCAGAGCAATGCTTCTTTTTATTCATGGACCTCCAAAAATGATTGGATTAGTCAAAAGAAATCTGGTACCCCAAAAAAAGTACCAAGTTAGACAATCAGTTATCAAAATTCGGTGAAGAAGAAGGGAAATAAATAACATTTATCAAAAGCTTCATGAAGTCCAGGTACTGTGGTAGCTGTTTGAGTCGGACTACCATTTATTTAGTTTTTGATTTGTTTTTGTTTTTTTTTTTAATGTGGTGCTGGGGATCAAACCTACTGCCTCATGCATGCTAGGCAAGTACTCTACCACTGAGCCACAACCCCAGCCCAGACTACCACTTATACCTATAGACTTGACAAAGTATTTTGTCCATTATCTCATTTACTCCTCATCAGCATCCCACAAGGCTCCTGCAAGGTGAGTATATCCCAAGTTACAGGAAGAAAACTAAGATTCAGGGAGGTTGAACCCACTTCCCAAGGTCAGCTAGTAGATAAGGTAGAGTTTGAACTCGGGTCTGTCTAGAGTGAAGCTTGTTCTTTCTGCCACATAGCTTGGCTCATTGTGCTCCAGAGAGGAGTCAAATTTCAGATGGGGGACAACAATAAGAATTAAATGAGACCATGTGTATAAAGTGCTGAGTACAGTGCCTGGCCCATAGCCACCTCTTCCAGAAGTGACTAAAGTACCCCAGAAACATGGGCAAGCCAGCTTCCCCTCCAGACTCCGCAGTGCAGGCCAGCACTGTCCCAGCCAGAATGTGTGCATCTCCCCATCAGCTTTCCAGCGCACAGACCCAAGTGCTGAGCAGGCTGCTGGGCAGGGAGGAGGAAGAGGCAGATATATGGCTGGAGTCGGCAGAGCCAGGTGATGTATGTGGTGCCTGAGGGAGCTGCACAGTGACACTCTGGATTCCAGCCGGCAAGCGTCGCTCCACTGGGATTGGCACCGAATTATTGCTCCATATGAAACCCCAGGACTGATGGGAGCTTTCAGTTACAGACTGATAGCAACAGCCAAAATTGGATTGTTTGCTATTTATTTTTTTTAACTTCTGTCAAGGTCACTACCGTATCAGGAAAACACTGCCCAAGCAGCAGGTATTTTTCATCCACTCTGCCCGCAAGAACAATCTGCAGCCACAACTTTCGTGACAGGGCCTTACCTTGACAGTTCTCTTCCTAGAAAGATATCAGTGTCACATGGGCTCCAGGGAAAGGAACCTCCTGTAGACCCAGTCTTTCCTTGCCAGTTCAAGATCTGCTTCCTTCCTCCTCAGCTCCTAACCTCCTAAAATGCTTTCCTGTCAGGCCCATACTCTCAGCTCTTCCTGCCTGGTCAGCAGATGGTCCTCCAGGTTCTTCAAGCCTTCCATCTCCCAGAAATCCCCCCAAATATTCCATATTTGTGTATTTTTCCCTTCTCTGTGCCTCTGCACCACCCGCATAGCTGCTTCCTCTTTGTATCTGTCATCAAATTTAGTTTTGCAAATACTCACAAGATGTCTCCGCTGGGCCAGGACCTGTGCTGGAAATAGCAATGAGTGAAAGATAGTGGCTGCCCTCAGGGAGCTCAGAAGAGAGTCAGTGGAGAGACTTACAAGCTGTCTGGTGTGGTACTGTCCTAGAGATAAGCATTTATGCTCTGAAACCATGAGGAAAGTGGTTCTGTCTGAGAAGCATTTGTCTATAGACCCTGCCTTGCCTGCTCTTGACTTGGGGCTCCCTGAAGGCAAGGTATGGCTTTTTTTCTCAGGCAAGACAGACAGGGGGAGGATGGGAAGAACTAAGTTATCCTCTCATGTTCATGAACCAGACCTGTGCCACAGGACCCCTGTAGTCCCACGACTGTGTTTTTCTCCTAAGTTGGGGGGATAGAATGAAACTAGGTTCTGACACCCCTGAGCCATTTGCCCTCTCTCCCTGCAGTACCAGGAAAAGCAGCGGAAGCGTGAAGCTGAGGAGCGGCGCCGCTTCCCCTTGGAACAGCGTCTGAAGGAGCACATCATTGGCCAGGAGAGTGCCATTGCCACTGTGGGTGCTGGTGAGTACCAAGACCATAGCCAGTGCAGGAAAACGCAGAGTAGTTTATGCTCTGCTGCCAGGAGGTGGACTTCCTGCTGCCACCAAACTGGAGAGATGCAGTTAACATTAAAAGTCAACATTTGTTGAGTACTATCTATATGCCAGGCATTATTATAAACTCTTTGCATATCCTGAAAGGACTAAAATAGTCCTCTCAGCAGCACCATGAGTTTGGTACTACCAAATTCGCATTTTACAGGTGAGCAAGATAAGACACTAAACTTGGCTGGAGTTTAAACTCACTGCCTGAGAGGTCTTGACCAGTCCCACTGACACATTGCTTATTCAATAATTATTCAATAATTTGCCCAAGGATGCTTTCCAGTGCTTAGAATTTTAACTCTCACCTTCATCTGTTCCTCTACCTACTGCCCCATTCTCAAGGTGGGATACCTGAGACCCAGAGGTAGGTGATAGCCTGTCCATCACTAGTGGTGTGGCGGGTACAACTAAGGTATGTTTCTCTGTGCCAGCCCAGGACTTTCTCATCCCTTCAGAATAGCAACTGGTCCTATTTTAGGAAAAACATCCCAAACAATTATAGAATGCCTTCTTCCCCACCTGTAAGCCCTTATTCCTATACTTTGGCTCCTGGACACCAGATTGTAACCCTTATCTGTGGCCTTCCTTCCCATGTGAAGCCCACTGGACAGTTATACATAGCTATAACAGCAACTGCCCTGAGTATGAGCTGGGAAAGAGGAATCCTATGCCAGGCAAAGCAAAAGAGTCTCCCCTAAGAGGAGTTCTCTAATCATGGTCCCTGGCCTAGCAGCATCACTCTCCCCTGGAACTTAAGAATTCAGACTTCAGGCCTCACCCACACCTATGGAATCAGATGCTGGGATCTGTGTTTTAATAGGCTCTTCGGGTGATCTGATGCTTGGCTGGAGTTTAAACTCACTGCCCTGAGAGGTCTTGACCAGTCCCACTGACACATTGCTTATTATTTTCTCCAAGAATCTAACCCCATGTGAATCCCTCATCAGGGATCTGACCAAATCAGCAGAGGAAAGGAGACCATAGACTGAAACTGCTTCCCCAGCTAGAGGTCAGAAAGTGTCATGTTGGCACACACAGGATCTGGGGAGAATTTTTATGAATGCATAGGGCCCCACTACGCAGGCCAGATCACACCAGACTGTCCCCTTGGGGTCTGGAGGCAGACATCTCTTCCCAGCTGCTACCCCAACTCCTTTTCCAAAGCTATTTCAAAGGTGAAGGGAGCAGAGATTCTGAGAGCCCTCATGGGTTGAGGAAAAGCATAGCCCACTCAAGACACTGGTTACCTGGGTGGAGATCTAATAAAGCACCTCCTTCTAGAATCTCTCATCTACTTGAACCAGGACTGCAGCTGCCCTTACAGTGTTTTTTGTTTTTTAATATATTTATTTTTATGTGGTGCTGAAGATTGAACCCAGCACCTCATATGTGAGAGGCAGGCGCTCTACCGCTCAGCTTCTTACACACTTCTGCAGCAGGCCACCTGCTGTCCTTTGACCTCCTACTTCTCACCAGCTCCTCAAGTTCACAAGCCATGACGCTCCCCAGAAACAGGGAGCTACTGAGCTAATTTGACCAGTCTGTTCTGTCACTCACCTGCCATGCAGCTCAGCCTCCTCAGCTTTTCTAAACATCAGTTTTCTCACCTGTGTAGTAGGGTACCAAGTCCAGGACCATGGAACTCTAAGCATGTATTCTTTCCTGTCTGCCATACAGCCTAGTCCCTATCCTTAAGATGTTTAGCCTTGGGAGCTAGGGATGTAGCTGAGTGATAGAGCACTTGTCTAATGTGTCAGGCCCTGGGCTCAATCCCCAACACTGGGAGAAGGAAAAAAAAAAATGTTCAGCCTTAAGGCTGTTTTTGTTTATTTATAGTTTTATTACACTACTGGATGCTCATGGGCATTCTACCACTGACCTATATCCCCAACCCTTTTTATTTTTTAATTTGAGACAGGGTCTCACTAAGTTATTCAGACTAGTGTCAAACTTGGGATCCTCTTGCCTCAGCCTCCGACATTGCTGGAATTACAGCAATTCATGCCACACCTGGCATGAATCCTCTGCTCCTAAAGTCAAGCTCAGATCAGTTTTCTTCCACTAGACTGAATCCCAGCCCCATCTCACCACTTTCTTGGTTATACGCTAACTTCTGATGGGTCACCCATCTTGCCTGTCTTTACTGTTGGCCCAGAGCAAGAGTAGATGGCTCAATTCCTCACCTCCAAGATTTGTCAGAATGTGTACCCTGAGTGCCTCCTCCCACTTAAAACCTCCATTCTGTTACCTGAACTCTGCCTCTGGTCAGTGGAAAGGCCCTGTTCCATGTGCCATCATATGTAGACCAACCCTGCTATGTCTACAAAAACCCTAGAAAAGACAGAGTGGCCCCTGGGGCCCAGGTTGAGCAGGGCTGATGCTCAACCTCCATTTATAAGGCAGTAATTGTGCACCTATCTTGCTGAGAATCCCTATAACTGGGGTCTCATGATACTGTTCCAAGCCATGTTCATTTCCTGTGACCAGCTCCCAGAGGCTCCTAGACCCCAGCCTGGTGATTGCAGGTACAGGACCAGGCAAAGGATGAGGCACTGTGGGTTAGAACTGTGATGGCACACAGCACCCAGTACCTCAAAACCAAAGCAGGTACAGGGGAGTAAGGTGCATCTAGAAGCTAGGCCAGGCCTCCGTGATCCTCTAGCATAGCATCACATATGTACTAAGCCCTGGCTGATGGAGCCTGGCACCCCATGGGTACCATGAGGGTGGGTAGCCAGAGAAGTGCCGCAGAATGAATTGATTTGATAAATGGCCATTTATTACCCTCACGAATTGGCTGAAACCAATTTCGGTCACATCAACCCCTGGTAAGTGCTGGGATATTGATTTGTGCAAAGTAATACAGTGAATTTATCAGTGTGATCCCCAGCTGCAGGGCCTGTAGCAAGGCTGGCTCACAGTTACCACCTTACAAATAGAGGAGATAAAGCACCAGCCCCACAACCCAGGCCCCATGACCTCTCTGGTCTCATAGGGTCATCAGAGCCAAAGCAGGGCCAGCCTGCATATGATAAACCAGAGCCTTGGCACAGAAAATGAGGCTCTTCTTCTAGAATCCAGAGCTGTGAATTATGGGGAAGGGAAGATGCCCACATTGTCAGGCAGACCTCCTGGGAACCCAACACCTCTAAGCCCCTCATCATCCTCAGAAAAGCAGCCAGCTGTCTTTTCACATTCACTGATCTCCTAAATAGGAATTTAGACATTTAAAGACAGTTTCTTTATCCATTCATCTGTGGCTCCTCCCACCCCCTCACCCCTTACAGCCCAAATATCAAGTTCTATCATTCTACCCCTTAAAGGTTATCAAGACTGGCCTCGCCCCTCTGTTCCTGATACCATTGCCCTGGCTCAGACACAAGCAGCCTGAACCATGGCAGTGGTCTTCTTGCTTCCTTTCCTTTCCCTAGAATCAGTTCTCCTCGCTGGCTGATCTTTGGAAAACACACATCTAACAATGCCCCTCCCATATTGGAAACCTTGAGTGGCCTTGCTGCCCTGACATGGCACAGAAGGCCAGCCATAGCACCTGCCTCTGCGTCCCTGCACATGCCGCCAAGCTGATCTCTGCTGTCATTGCTGCCATAGGCTTGTGGTTCCTTCTCTTCTGGCCCTTTTATTGCCATCCCACCCCAGCCCATCCCCCACACTGACTGCTTTCTCCTTGGGCCAGCCCTGTTTAGGACCAGTGCACTGTGGGCTCCTGGTTATTTTCCCAATTCCAAGCATGGCATCTGGTCAAAGTAGATGCTGAGTAGTTTGTGAAATTAATTTACTGCTGTGGCTCCTTGTCAGGCTCTGTAATGTGCTATGACAAGGAACCACACTCTAGTGAGATTGTTAATTACAGCCATATTGCTTGACTTTTGACCCCTCGGGTGGCAAGCCTTTCCCCAGACCTTCTCTAAGAAGCCTCTTTGGGGCAGCAGGTCAACCTGCATGTACCTGACAGCCACCTTGGAACTTCTTCTGACCAGGGGCCTATGCCTAGTACCATTCCACCCAATCCCAGTTAACTCTATGAATCCCCTGTGCCTCCTCAAGCAAACTTTTCCACCTCAACTGCCCTGCTAGAAGTGTCAGTGTCTGGCCCATGTACAGAATCTCAGAATCAGCCATGTGTCACACCAGGAGCACTGACCTCTCATGCTCCAGTTCCCTCATCAACTAATCTAAAAGGGCAGTCTTCCCAAGCCCTGTACCTTTCTGGGCCCTACCTTTGAAAACTGCTATCTTTTTTTTTTATTATTCTTTTTAATTATACATGACAGTAGAATGTATTTTGAGATATCATCATATGTTCATGAAGTATAACTTTCCATTTTTGTGGTTGTATATGATATGGTTGTATATGATATACTGTCATGTATTCATATATGAATATAGGAAAGTTTTATCTGATTTGTTCTACTGTCTTTTCTATTCCCATCTCCCCCAACCTCCACTGCTCCCACTATCCCCTCCCATTGTGAGTCAACATCCACATATCAGAGAGAAAATTCAGCTTTTGTTTTGGGGGATTAGATTATTTAGCTTAGCATAATATTTTCCAGTTCCGTCCATTTACCAGCCAATGCCATAATTTCATTCTTCTTTATGGCTGAGTAATATTCCATTGTGTATATATGCCACAGTTTCTTTATCCATTCATCTGTTGAAGGGCACCTAGGTTGGTTCCATAACTTAACTATTGTGAATTGAACTGCTGTAAACATTGATGTAGCTGCATTACTATAGTATGCTGATTTTATGTCCTTTGGGTATATGCCAAGGAGTGGGATATTGGGGTCAACTGGAAGTTCCATTCCAAGTTTTCTGAGGAATCTCCATACTGCTTTCCATGGTGGTTGCACCAATTTGCAGTCTTATCAGCAATGTATGAGTGTGCCTTTTTCC